CTAGGGATTTTTTTGAACATATCTTGGTAGAGCAACTTCACTAGAAGAGTATTTTTCATGCTTAGTATTACCTTCTAGCTCGTTGGGTGCTTAAAGAAGGTTTTTTAAGTTTCTTACTATTTCACAAATATAAGGAAATTCAAAGGCCCCTGGGGGCCAATTTTAAACCACAGGCTTTATTTGAACAAATGGTAGATACCCATTTAGAAGATGTTTTCGATGCTAATATCCTAGCTTTAACTCTTAACGTTTAAAATAAATATTTTTTTAAGTTTTTACTTATCATACAGGGAAATAACAATGATCCCCCTGGTGGCGGGCCATTTTGAAACCATGGCTTTTAATTTGAAGAAAAATTTTTGTGACACCATTATCTACTCTGCTTATTGTGGGTTTTTTAGTAGAAGATTTTTTAATTTTTACCATTAATACAATTAAGAAGAATCAATGTCCCTCAGGGCGGGCAATTTTTTGATCGCCGCAGGGCATTATTTGAAGCAAACTGTATAACACTGAGCTAGACAGATGTTTGCATGCCAAATATTTTAGTCGTCGACCATCTTTCGTGGGTTTTTTAAGAAGATATTTTAAGTTTGTTTTTTTCAGTTGCCTAATGAGCTACCGGAGTTTTCGCATGGAAATTAAAAATTTGATAAATTTTTTGATGTTGAACTATTCAAGGAACTTTCTTGTGAATGTTTGGGTGAATTTATTGGCTTAAGCGGTTTTTGAGAAGTATATGTCGTTTTAAGTAAATTAGTTTACGGACGAAGTACGATTGTAAGCGATACATAAAAAAATCTCATCATTTCACTTTCGTGACAGGGAGGACTAATTAATATATATATATAGAATATTTTGACATTGCATAATAAAGTACTGGGGAAGTGTCTGGTTTTTGAGCCTAAAACTTCAGAAAAGGTATGGTAATAATTTTGGTCGTTATATTTAGTCATTATCATTTAGACAGTGGTAATTGGCTTTATTTTATGCTGATGATTGTAAATAAGCTATACGAGCTTATCAATAGAAAATGTTCAATACTGTTTTTGAACTTCATGCTTGCAGAATGAATCAATTATTTGAAATATAAATGACCTGCTTAAGCAATTTTAAGAAAAGTAAAAAGAATTCTTTTCGAGTTTCCATGTATTAATACCAATATTTTTCCCTCAGCGGAACTTATAAGGACTATTTTAATTGAGTTTCATTGTTTTTGGGTTATTTACGTAGATTGGTTATAGTGCCATTATGCAAGTGTTGAATAAATGCTTTCTTTGTTCACTTTACAATAGTTTTATAACTTTTTTAATACATGTTGTGAAAATTTTAATGAAAAATTAGCAGTAGAACCTTGGAAGAGTGCTGCTTTCATAGTCTTAGGAACACATAAAAGTTTTAAGCATGTGACTTTTAAATTGTCAGAGCCATTGAACCTTTTCCGACATTAATGCCTAGCTAAAACTTTGATATCTTCTCGCCCAGTTCATTAATACGCTTACACTGCATAAGAATCCTGAGTGATTGTGCTTTCATGCAGTATACAGCCAGGTATTGAAGACTGAACTGGCTCCACAATGATGTCATCACTCTAACATTTAACGTTTTCATTCGCTGATGTATGATGAAAAAAGGTTCACTTTAATTAATATGAAAGCCAGCTCATGTCCATTAAGAAACTCCTACAGCGCTATAGGGTGATGAATAGATTTTGCTTATCAATTTGCTTTCATTTTGCACGATATTCAAAACAAGTTAGTTCAACAGTCTATAAAGCCATTTTAAAAGAAAGGCTTGCAACGTCGTATTTGTTGTTCATGAACTGACAAATATCATGAAATAATTTCATGTTTAAATGCAAAACTTGTTAGTTCAGACATTTACAAGTAGAATTAAAGACTAAATTCTAACTTAGGATGCAGGACCATATTCCCTAAACAAAATATCATGCAGGAATTTAGTGCGCTTGTTCTATCTATGAATTTGCTATATGTGAAACAAGACTTGTGCACCCAAGTGTTCATAATGCAGATCATTTACCATTTATTATAATTTCCCCTGCTAGATCTACATTTATTGTAAGACTGTAAAAAAATTATAATAACTCATTGTTAATCTAATTAAGTTTATCATTTAGGGATGCATAGTAATCATAGATATTTCTGGTATAAATATCTCCAAAAATTAAAATTGTATAAAGGGGAATTTCTATCATTCACAAAATACTGGTGGTCCTGATGTGCGCGAGAAAATGGAGTCAACATAACATTCAACTTGTTTACATCCTTATTGTCTTTTAACAAACAATATCTTCACACAGTAATTATTCAAGTTTTTCAGGAGAACGCTAATTAATAAATATTTATCACAAAAATTATCAAATATTGTAAAAGGAAAAGATCTAAATTTACATGGAAAACTGAATCCAAGAAATTTTAAGACCTATGTACAGCCATTGATTGTGAAAGTGTTGATAGGATAACTAAGATCTGATTATTAATAACTGTTTAAAAAGTTTGAAATTCGCATCATGCACATGTATTTCCATATACGCAGTAATAAAATAATTTTAACCAATTATCTGCATATTACATCTTCTTGATATAAGGTCAAATACATGCAGGTCACCAATACATACATGTTAGTTCCATGATATTTGTCACCTATAAGGCTGTCGCTTTTTCAACAAAACTTAACATTTCGGGAAACTGCAAGTAAACTTGACCTGAAGTTAACATTATATCTTTTCTATTAGAAGTTAATTAAAAGCATTCATAGAAATGTATCCAACACAACTAAATCTTAATCAATATGTTGAATGCTTGGTATATAATCATATACTGAGGGTATGGTCGCATACTGTACAATATTGAAAGTCCCCTATACTCATATATCATACATTTTTTGTTCATGGTGAAGACTTATAAGACTGCTTATTTATGGTTCTGATTGAATTTGACTTGTATTCTGATTTTTGCTGTATGTAAATGATGTACATAATTTCGTCCATCCCGAATATTAATGCTTTAAATAAAATTAAATCAGAAGTTAACAATTCTTAATTTTATCTTCATGTAATGTCATGTAATACATTTCAGTCTTTGTTCATCATTTACTTCCCACTTACTGAGGCTCTTCTAGAGCACAGATACTTTGAATACTGATTTCTTCTATGTTTTCTGCCTTAGGAGTATCACTGTACATGTTACTATTTCTAGATGGTTATTTTATACATGATATATAGTAACAGCAATGTTTATTTGGCACAATTCTGTTGGTCTACTTGTAGCTGTAGCTGTAATGTGCTGCAATGCTCTCAACCCTGTGAAGCTACTGGATGAAGACACAATTTCTGTTTTTTTGTCATAGTAATCCTAAAAACAGAAATTATGGCACATTTATTTCATTATTATATACATGTATATAGAGATTGGTACGAAATGAAAACAATCATTTTACAGTAAGCAGTCTTGTTGTTTAAAGAAAATAACCACTTTTTATGTTAATAAATGTCGAAAAATAGTCCAGCTGTTTTCAGAAGAGGGATAAAAGTAATGGTGGTTTGATCCATTAAACACTACAGATTCAGAAATAATGTAATGCGAAACTTATGTTAAGATTTTATTTATTCATAATATAGAAAGAACTGTAAAATTTAAAATTATAATCTCCTAAATATTCTTTGAGTACTGTTTAATTTATATCTTTCAATACCGGCCATAGCACCTTACATTTGGGAATTAGTAAATCCTCTTAGTCTACGCAAGGCCAAACTTAATAAGTAACTTTGTTTTTGAGGGCGCCTTGTATATGTGACCTTAAACTCAAACACGATATTTGTTGTTTCTTATCCAAAAATAGCCTAATTATCACCACAGGTGAACGTCGCGTGGCCCATGACTTTAGCACATGTACCTCCCTGTTCCTGCCTTACAACCCCAAACCCTTAAACATTCAATCCAAACATTCATACAGTATTGACAGTTAAAAAATTTATGAAAACAAAAATAATGACTATAAAAATATATTTTATATTATATTATTATAATATATTACCACTGTGTGATTAATGAATGGCTACTTATAATTTTTTCCTATTATTCCAGATTTGAAAATTGAAAAATCTCAATTTTATGACATGATATTCATAGTAATATAAATATAGATGAAGAATGTTATTATATATACATTTCCATAGTACAATTATATTACGACATATATATATATTATCACATTGTACATCACATAAATTATTTTAAGCTTGGTCAGAAGGTTGATTAGGTACGAAATAGGTATATTTTGTAATATTTCGCTCAAAATGTATTTCCCTGCAGAATATGCATCTGTGCTAATCATTACTCCTTATAGTTCAGTCCTTACAAGCAGCTGTCTTATATCCTGAGGTACATGATTACGTGTACATCTTACTCACTGAAAAGCTGTCCCTATTATATGATAGTCTTTGGCTATTGTACCAATGCATGTTAAATTTGACAATGAAAATTTTTAATAATAATTTTTGTGTGTTAAATTTAATTATGTTGTTTCTTCTAGATGTATGATTTGATTTCTAAGGATTTCACCCTTTATTCCTGTTTTATTTTTCAAACTTCAGAAGCCACAGTGTTTATAAACAAAAATCAACATCTATACAACATGTCATGTAACTGTATATTATTCAACTTACATTCAAACCTGTGTGTAGTGGGCCTAGGTAAGGTGTGAATTGATGCTAAAAGAAATATGGTACAAGTGATCCCACATACATCGCTAGGTTGACGTCACACTGATATAGTGTAATTTGTTAATATTATGTATAAAAAATGTTATTAATGTTAAATCAATCTTTAAAAGCCTTGGATTTTAAATATGTTTTTGCTGTTGCAAATAATGATTCAGCTCAGTTGGTAATTTATTTCATTATATTTTATATTTCACATATATTGTATCTTATCATATTAAAGATTATATTAGTTTTTTAAAGTAAAAACAGTAATAAAATGTCAATAGTTCAGAATTGTTCACCGTGTATAGGAGAGAAAATGGTGTGTAGGCAGATGGATAGGGCTATTGGTTATGGTACCATGGAAACATGTGTTCAAGTCCTGGTTCGAGGTCCCGATCAAAGGTTGGCAATTTTTTTCTAACCTGTGGACATTTGTGCAGTGAATGCAGATATCCCTAGAATTTATATTCACATTGCTCTGTACATGCACAGATAACCTTTCATGTCCAGAAGCTGAGGAGTCAATCATATATATGTTTCAGAAGCTGTGCCAAGTTGCAGACTAGAGAAATATGTGAAAAAGCATGGCAGGATATTTCAGTTGGTAGATATGGTCCAGGGTCAGACTGCAGGTTTTTTCACCCTAATGGGAATTTTCCTAATTTCTAGATATTATATAATTATGTTAAATCTATCAATTCTGTTTTAAAGTGTCGTTTACAGTTTTTTCCAAATAATTGATAACAGAAATTTGAAAAAAAATATAAAAATGATACATCATTTTTTTCTATCAATGAAAAAAAATTTTTGAGATAAAAATTACCCCCAAATTTATCATTTTTTCCGGGGTGATTTGACACCTCCCCTATTTTGATGAAAATTTTTAAAGTTAAAATAAAAAAGTTTCAAAAAAATAAAAACAAAAATAGAAAGTGGCTAGCCAAACGGCTCCAAAAGTTTCTTGCCTATGTGGGGTAAATTTTATGACTGCCACTGTATGTTTATTTGTCATTTTCCAAAAAATTTTTATCTTGTTTAAAACCCCCTTTGTAATAAAATTTTAAAAATTTGAAATCAAATTTGGTAAAAATTTAATAAAGTTTTAGCGGGTTTACAAACCTTGAAAAACCCGGGTAAAACTTTTAAACTTTTAAGGGTTTTTCAATCAAAAAAAGATCATTCACAATTTAGATGATTTTATAAAATTTTACATTTTTCTTTTTATCGTTTAAAAACATTAAAAAAATCTATTTCCCAACCCTTACGTTGGCAAATTTACATTTTTTAAATATAAAAAGAAAAATTTAAAATTTTAATTTATTTAATTTTTCTTATTTAAAGAAAAGGGAAAAAACCCCTCCTGAAAAAATTTAAAATAAAAAAAATTTTCTTTTAAAAAAATAAAAACAAACAAAAAAAAACCCAAAACATTGGAAAAAATTGGGTGGCTTTGGGGGTTGGCCAAATATTAAAAAGGCTCCTTTGGGCTTCCTTGAGGAAAAAACCCAATTGAGGGGGTTCAAAATTTTCTTATATAGTTGCCCAAAAAGTGTTTTTCAAAAAATCTATGCTAAAAAATTAAAGGAAATAGGGTTTGGTTTCAAATTAAAAAAATTACTTAAAAAAAATTTTTTAAAATTAAATAAGAAAAAACCATAAGGGGCCCGAAACCCCTTTAAAATCATTAATTTTGGGAATTAAACCAAAAAATTTAAGAAAAAACCAAAATCTTCACTAGAAAAGTCGATGTTTTTAAGTAAATTTTAAAATGCTTTCCCCGAAAACAGAAAAAAAATTTTAGAAGAAAATTTTTTTGAATAAAAGATTTAAAAATTGTTTTTAAAAATTTCCCCAAAATTCGGGCCCACTTTTTCCCCCCTTTCCTAAAAAAAAAAGGGAAAAACCCCACAATTTCCCCAATGCTTCAAATATTTGAATTTTTTATATACAGATAGAAAAAAAATTGGGATTTAAAAATTTCCAAAATTTTTCCTTACTTCTGGGTCTTTTAGTATATCTTTTTTTCATTTATTTTAGTTTTTTTAATTTTAAAAATTTTTTGCTTATCAAAAACATTTTATTTTTTTTTTTTTTAAAAAACCAACCCATTTACATGTATATTTACAAAATTTTTTTTTTAATTTTTTCCATTGCCAAAAATTTTAAAAATTTAAAAATAAATATAAAGTTAATTAACCCTTATACAAAATTAAAATTTAAATTTTAAATTAAATTAATTGTATTTTTTAAAAATTTAAGGTAAAAAGTCAAAATTTAAGTCTTTGTAAAAATATTTCATATTTTACATGATAAGTTTAAAATTAAAGACTTGTATACCTTTTTGGGAAAATTTAAATTTTTTTTTCCAAGCAACAAAATTGTTTTGGGGTTTTAATTTTTTAATTTTTAAAATTTAATGTCTTAGTAAAAAAAATTATTAAATCCTTTTTAAAAAATTTATATGATGTTTTTGTTTTTTGTTTGCCCCCTTTTACAATAAAATGTTAATTTTAAGTATGATATTTTAAATGGTGACAAAATTGATACATTTATAATAAAGGAAAACAAGTCCCTTTAAAAGGGTATTGTTTAGCAAAACCCCAAACCCAATTTTAAATTTTTAAATAAACAACCTTTTTAAATAGGGAAAAAAATTCCCTTTGGGTTTATTTTGCGCCCAACCAGGGGCGATATGGAGAAGTGGGTATCTTTTCCATTTCATTTTCCCCAAACCCCTTTCCCCCTTTTTTTTATAATAAAAATCGGAATTTTTGGATAATGAATTTAAAATTTCCTTTTGATGGGAGTTTACCCTTATTTTGGAAGGGGGCAAAAGCTTTCTTTGAGATGATAAATTACTTATAAGTTTTTTTTTGACTTGGTTCTATTGTTTGTTTTATGGAAATTTTTTCCCAATATTTTAAAATTTAAATGGCCAAACCCAAACCCCAAAAACCCTAACAAGGAATTGGCTTTTTTGGAGGATACCATCTCCATTACTGAATCCCCTTTTTGGGCCCAAAAGACATTTTAAGACCTTTGGGCATTTAATTTTCCGGGTTTCTGGCGGTTACAAAAGGGTTCTTTCGTTGCCTCAGAAATTTTTGGGGTATTTTTTTTGGACATAGAATGCCTTTTAACCTTTGTACTACTGAGAGGGGCCCAAAGGATGTTTTTAGGGGGTTAGGAGGGTCCCATACATAACGTCAATAGGATTTTGTTTTCCTGGCCAAACATAAAGTAAATTAGGCGTACATTTAGCTGTATCTATGTGTACACTTGATCTGTAAGCCATACTAATAAAAGTGAAGATGGTCATCCCAATCGTTCTGTTTTAATTTCACGAAATTGCTAACATCATTGGATGGTTCGGTATGTTTTCTTTCTTTGTAAGCCATCAGACCTAGGATTGTATACGGAACTGGTCCTTGTTTTTTTAGGCTACCTAGATATGCGACACATGTTCCTAAAAATTAATGACTCAAATCCAGGGACTTGATCCTTTGTACGATGTGGACAATTGAAGAATTCCATATCTGCAGATAACTCAGTCACTATTTTTCTGCTACATGGTGAGTGCAGTCTATGATTTAGCATAAGCTCGGAATTAGGAGAGTAGTCACTTATTACTACTACATAAAGAGTGCCATGTCAGACAGTGGGAGGTAAAGGTCCTAGAATAATTCAAGGGAAATACGTCTTAAAGGTGGGGGTAAGATATGTCTTGTTGGTAAATGAGACTGCCGCAGAATTTGACCTGGGCTTTCTTCTGGAGTTCAATTTCCTAATTGAATTTACCGCGCGCTTACATATATTGAAAGTTAGTCTCCCAATAAATATTTCTTTGTGGATTGAAGCTAATAGTTCTGTTCACTACCGGTTTATTGGCGCTATTCTACTTGTTATTGTTGAGAAATAATACTTCGACCTCAAGTTTTTTCAGAGAATAAAACGTAAGATTTGTTGTCTGTTTTCGCCGAAGGTTGTCTGTTAATGAGTGTAATAGACTACTCAAAAGACCCCCAGCCTCCCCATAATGTCCTAAACATTTGTAAGATTATTATAGCAATTTACTTTTGTTCTTTTCCAGTAAATTTTTTCTTAAGAATTAGCTATGACACTGATATCTGAATCTTGATTTTGAATTCTAAGAGTCCAATATTGGACATTTACCAATCAGATTGAGATTAAAACATGGTCGGTTGTTTTCGAGTTTGACTTTGTTTTAAACAATATCCTTTTTTAATGTTTGTACTTTTATTGTAAAATTATTAAGTTTGATTGTTATTCTAGGGTGCAAGTCTGTTTATGTGGTAAATAGGATATAACTGTTTGAGAAGTCGAATGTTAAATTACCATTGTGCATTTAATATACTTCCTTTTGGTAGTTGTGACCTTGTGCAATTAGTTTGCTCAGACTAGAGCAAGACGTCTTATGCAATTTTTTATCGTCTTTTGACGTTTGTTTTTAATATTATTCCCACCAGTCAGTGACAATTTTACTCTTTTGACATGAATATTATTACGGACTGGTATTCTTGGATGAAAATAATTGCATTAATGCTGTAGACACTTCCACGATATTGCACCATAAAATCTTTAGGTTTGTCACAGTATAGCTACCAGCGAGCTAACATATCCTTCCAGGTTCTTTGAAGTTTTTTTAGCTAACAGGGGAAGTTAATCGAGTTCTTACTAAAAACTTTCTGCCCAAAGTATATGTGTCTAATAATGTTTCACAAAAGTGAATACTTGCCTAAAAGTTCTATAAAGGTTGTTACAGTATTTTTTTGCGATTTGCTAAGAGATTTGTTAGACATAAAGATCACTTTTCCTGCACCCAGTTTTTTATTTGTGACAAGAGCACAGCCAATGCCTGTATTACAACCTTTCAGTATCTAATAAACAATCCATCTTCTGGGAAAAAATTAGAGATTGGAGGTTTGTAATTTATTGTTAATTGTCAAAACTTATCTTGGACACTTTTGTGTCCATACATTTTCTTTCTCTCTTTTGAGCTCACGTTCATTGAGTGCGAAAGTAAAGTTGAGAATAAACCAGGAACTTAACATTCCTATAATATGACAAAGGCCTCCTAAAAGCTACTTAATTCATTTTATTATTTGGGTGCCATGAGACAATTCTTAATATTCATTCTAATCTGTACCTGCGCTTTAGCTGCGGCTACGACAATGCGCTTTGCCCTCTGCACAAGCTGACCCTTATATTAGTATTTGTTTTTTTTGAAAATGAGCATTTCTTTGCTTTAAATGCTTTACATCTTTGAAGATTTGTTCAGTAAATCTATGATTATTTCTGTCTAGATAACTGTTTCCAACTTGTTTTCTTATACCATCTATATATACCGTAGATTGCGATCAACTTCAAGCATAAATATGATC